GTACAGTTATCTTCCAAAGCAGAGGTGAATATCAACCTTGGCATTACTTTCACTAGACGACTACTCATACCATGGAACTTACGAATATGAGAAGAAGCTCGACTTTCTCTTCTTACGCGATGCCTGCGGACGAAGAAACAAGTAGCCCGCACTGCAGACATAATTAGCAGGATTTTGATATTTCTTATGCCAGCAGCATTTCCTGCCATTGCAACTGGGATGCCGCCATCTTCACTGTCGTAGATGGTTGCAGTTGTACTGATGCACGATTGGTTTCGTATTGTACGGTGTGTAGCTGGTGTTGCAAGGGTCATGGGGTCTGTGAACTTTTGTCTTATGCAGGTAGTGTAATGGGTGGCGTGTGATGTTTATGTGAGTTGTACCGTGTTGCAGGTTCTGGCATGTAGTATGGATAGGGACGACTGTGAGGTACGGTCTACAGGCTGGAAGGTTTTATGTCGTGATGCGCTTCCTCTATTCTTGCCAGTTGTGTAGTTTCAAAATTTGTTTTTTTTCCTTTTCTCAAAACAGCATCTGGCCGTGTGGGTATTTGCACCACTTTATGAACCACTGAGGCGTGAATCCTTGTAATATAAATTATGAGCGAATCCTTGTATTTCCACTTCTTGAATTTCAATAATCACTCTATAATACATGCTCTAATATTGTGACTTTTATTATTGGGTCATTCTCAAATTTCAAAATGTTGTGATCTTGAAACTCAAAGAATTCACTTGGTCACAACATGAGAGGAAAGCTCTTAGACCCTTCTTGAATCAATTTGTATTACTAAAAAAAAACTCAAAAATAAAATCTGGGAAGGCACTATTCGCAACTTGTAAATGAATTCTCATGACTTAAAACAAATCGATCTAATAAGCACGAGACATCTTAATCACGACTTCCCATTACAACCTGACATAACTCATCTTACGCCTTAATTCCACCATGAATTTTCAATAAGATTTGAGTTTCAATTTGAAGAATGCTTGAAGCAAAAATCAACTCAACTAGAGATCCACTTGAAATATTGCTTAAAACAAACTGAAATAAGACTTGGAATTAGTTGGATCAAAGCCTCGAAACATCTCACACCATATGGCTCAAACTAAAGCTTAACTACATGGTTTGGAATCCACTTGATCATCTTTATTGCTCGACTACAAGTACATAGGCTCATCTTTCTTCTATCTTCGCTTGAGCTCAACATATTTTGCAAGAACTTGTGATCATACTAAACACAAACCAACAAAACTCCCAGACCCGAGAAAAAAGCTAGGGGATCCTGGCCCAGGGTCAAATGATCGCCTAGAGAACAAGCACCAAGCAACTATTATTCGTGATGAGAAAAGTAAGAAAGGTAGGGCGAATTTAGGGTATGACACACTTACTTTATATTGTAGACATTTGTATAGTAACTTCAGGTAAAAGTTCCCTGGCCTGAAATTAAAGGAATTCATGTGGAGAGCTCCATGTGTAAGTTATGTTAATGCTTAGGAGAAAATAATGCTTGAAATTTAAAGAGTTAATGAAGAGGCCTTCAAACACCTCATCAAAATTCCACCAAGATTCTAGAGCAAATCAAAGTTCCAGCCAAGTTCAGGTTGTGACACTTTGGTTAACAATATGTTAGAGGCCTTCAATTCTGTATTTGTAGTTGCTTGATCCAAGTCCATTGTGACAATGCTGGAAGAAATTAGAGTATACATAATGCAGAGATGGGAATCCAATAGGCAAAACATTACCAAATATGATGGCATCATACTACCTAACATCAAGAAGAGGATGGAAAAGAAGTCACAGAAAACCAATCATTGGATTATGAGGTAACATGGTTGACTTGTTGAACATTACTTTCAAATGGATAACTGTTTACATAGAATATCATTGTTAATGGTTACTTGTTTATAGGCGTGCAGGTAAATATGACTATGAGGTGAGACATACTTCACTCAATGGAGAAAACTATATTATCAACCTTTACAAGAAAGAATGCTCATGTAGACTATGGATGCTGACTGGACTTCCTTGCTGTCATGCAATGTCTTGCATGAAAGATTAACATTTGGAGACTGATGACTTTGTACCTGACTGTTACAAGAAGGAACAATATGCTGCTTGCTATGCACATGTGATATATCCACTTAACGGGGAAGCCTTGTGGGCAAAAACTAGTGTTGTTGATCTTCAGTCACCACCAATAAAGAGGCAGCCTAGAAGCCCAAAGAAAAAAAGGAATAGGGAAGCTAGAGAGATGGTGAGGGATAAGACACACATGAAGAGGGCAAGACATGGTATAAAGTGTAGTCGTTCCCACAAGGATGGTCACAATAAGGCCACTTGTAAACTACCACAACCACAAGAACCAACAAGTCAGCCACCATCATAAGCTAATTCAAGTCAGGTACAAGATGCAACAAGTCAGCAACCATCACAAGGTGTTACAAGTCAACCACCACCACCTGTTGCAACAAGTTAGCCACCATCAAAATATGTTACAAGTCAACCACCACCACCTGTTGTTGCAAGTCAACCACCGCCACCTGTTGTTACAAGTCAACCACCACCATCTGTTGTTACAAGCCAACCACCACCACAAGCTGTTACAAGTCAACTCCCGCCACCTGTTGTTACAAGTCAACCACCACCCAAAACTAAGAAAAAACTTCATAAGGGTGGCAAGCCTGTTTCAACCCAACCATAATCAATATTATTATGTTTACTAAGATTTTGTAATGTCATTTAATGGCCTGACTCTTTTGATTTTGTTAATGCATATTTTGGAATGGAACCTGTTATGTAATGCCTTATAATGGCCTTTTGGTTTTGAACCTGTTATGTAATGCCTTATAATGCTCTTTTAGTTTTTGAACCTGTTATGTAATGCCTTATAATGGCCTTTTGTTATTGAACCTGTTATGTATCAAACTTTGAATCTTTTAATGAATGTTGGAATGGTTATTGAACCTGTTATGTATCAAACTTTGAATCTGTTATTGAACTTATTACGTATCAAACTTTGAATTTGTTATTGAATATGTTAATGAATGTTTGAGCAAGTTATATTACAGTTTTTTTTCCACAAATATTGGTCATTGGACTGGATATTTTACAGGTCGGATATTGAGACATTATTCAATAAAAATGTGAAAACATAACACATACATTATTCATTGAAACAACATAACAATACATTATTCATTAAACAAACTCATCAATTTGTTACAAACACAAAGTTCAACCCTATAACTACCAACATAACAACATAACTTTGAACTACCCTAAAACTAATTGAGATACATTGTTACAAACACAATGTTCAACCCTAAGCTTACAACCCCAACAACAATGGAAATTTTGAGCCACCCTCGAGTGTAGATAACTTCATTCTTCAATTTGTTAATTTTCTTCTTTTGTCTTTCAAGCTTCAAATCCCTTTCATCAATAAACTTATCACCAAACCACTTGAAGAAATTACAACCCTTTTCAATGTGGTTTCTGTAATTTCTACAACCCCAGAATTTTCTTTCCTTGTTGACACTATTCACATCATTCATTGTTCCAACAACACTTTCATCTTGGCAAAGCACTCGATTCTCTTGTTTCTATGAATCAAAGATCTATATGTACCATAACTATGGTTGTTTGAAGTTGAGACATTGCTTGCACTCTTTGACATTGCTTGAACCCTAATTCCTAAATTGCAGAAGAAAATGGAAGATGGTAGAAGGAAGATGGAAGAAAGAATCCTGATTTAAAGATGAAGATGATAGAGGTAGGAAATATGGAACACCACTGAAGATTGGTGAAAGAAGAATGAAGCTGCAAGAATGAAAAATGAAACCTATGTAACGTAACGTATACATATGCTGACGTGGAATTCTAAGTTGGCTTATTTGACATGTCACCTCAAACAAACTAACGGTTTTTGACATAAACTAACAGAAGAGACAAAATGTTCAACGAAACTTAAGTTAAAGGATAATTAAGTAACGTTTTTTAATTCAGAAACTAAAACAAAACTTCGCTCAAAATTAAAGAATCCAATAACTAATTATACTTAAAAAAATAACATAACACTAAATATAATTGTTTCATTGAACGAGGTTAACAATACCTAATGATAGTGGAGTATTAATCTTATCTTATTGGAAGAGTGCAATAAAATTTATATCTTTTTATTAATCCATGAACTCAATTGCATGTCTTAAAAGTGTATAATTTTTTCACATTACGTGACAAGGTCTTCATACTCTTCATACTCGTTTCAATTAAATCTTCGATGATGCAAAAGACAAAAAACCGAAAGTACACAATTATCATTATGAGATTGAATATTAGTCAATGGCACTACTATGCCCGCTAGTAGCCGTTGTTTACAATTTTGGTCATGTTTGACTTACTAATATATAAACTTTATAAACCCCCAACTTTGAACTCATTTTTTTTTTCTACACTACACCTATATAAATATTTTTGGGTACAATGCTACACCTATATTTTAATATAGGCTAAACTATGTTTCTCCCTTTCTGTGTAATCTACTAATCTTATTAAATTTAGTTACAAGATTGCTTAATAAACAAGAATAATACTTATCATTTTGTTTTAATACCTTTCATATAGTTTTTAAGTATATGACTCTTTCTATTAGAAACTTCTATTTTAACCAAGGACAGCGTATATAGTTGAATGAAATGAAGAAATAAAGTTTCGCAGTTATGAGTTTGAATCAGTCCAAAACTTTGATGTTTAATAAATGAACATCTTACACTAATTAATTAATTAATTAAAGATTCGACCCATCTAGCTCTCTATTAACTTCACAACTCATTTTTATTTTATTTTATAGCTCTCAATATATATATTTTTTAAATTTTGGCCAAGTATAATTCCAATATCAAGATACCAATTGAATTGTCTTAAAGACAATGTAAGAGTCTACTCAAAAAAGGCCATACCATCCCCATCATTGTGACAGTGCATCATCAATATTATTGATGAGTAACATGGTGGGTGCCTTCATCACTTTCCTTCTTACCTTCCAACCTCTCTCATTCATCTTCTTCCTCCTCTTCTACCTAACATTCCTCAACTTCCTACCGGTCAAAAAACTCGCCGGAACCGGTCCAACAACATATCCGATAATAGGATGTTTATTATCCTTCTACAAAAACCGTTTCCGGTTACTAAATTGGTATACGGAACTTCTAGCCCAATCGCCAACCAATACTATATTGGTTCGGCGATTAGGCGCTTGTAGAACAATTATAACTGCAAATCAACACAACGTCGAATATATACTCAAGACAAATTTTAAAAACTTTCCCAAAGGAAAGCCTTTCACGGAAATCCTTGGGGATTTTCTTGGTAAAGGTATATTCAACGTGGACGGTGGTTCATGGATCAAACAGCGAAAACTCGCGAGTCATGAGTTTTCGCTGAGGTCCATGAACGACTTCATCATGCACACGTTAGAGGATGAAGTGAATGGAAAGCTATTACCATTAATGGATTCATTGTGCATAGAGAATAAAGTTGTTGACTTGCAAGAGTTGTTGGGGAGATTCTCTTTCAACGCGATTTGCAAATTCACATTGGGGAGTTATGATGATGATGATGATAATAATAATAATAGGTGTTGTTTGGATCCTAGTTTTCCGATTTCGCCACTGGCGAGGGCTTTCGACGTGGCGGCTGAGATTTCTGCGAGACGCGGAGCAGCGCCGTTGTTTTTGGTGTGGAGAGTGAAGAAATGGCTGAGATTTGGATCGGAAAGGAGGTTGAGAGAGGCGGTTATGGAGGTTCAGACACGTGTCATGGAAATGATTTCAAATAGAAAGAAAAAAATGAATGGAATAGGAGAGAAGCTTGTTAATGGTCAAGATCTTTTGTCACGTCTTATTTCTTCAGGTAATGAGCATTTTCTAATTGAGTTTGATCGTGTGTAATACTCGTGAATATTACTAAATTCTGATACTGTTTTATCGCAGTCGTTTTTTGTTATTTTTTAAAATTTTGTCCGATTAATTTTTGTTGCAGGTCATGATGAGGAAGTGATTAGGGACATGGTGATAAGTTTGATTATGGCAGGGAGAGATACAACATCATCAGCTTTAACATGGTTCTTTTGGTTACTATCAAGTTATTCTGAGATTGAGCAAAGGGTAGTGAAAGAGACATTGGATTATGATTATGATTATGATTATGAGTCATTGAAGAATATGAATTATTTAAAGGCATGTCTATGTGAATCAATGAGATTATATCCACCAGTGGCATGGGATTCAAAGCATGCCACGTGTGACGATATATTGCCAGATGGTACAATGGTAAAAAGTGGAGATAGAGTGACTTATTTTCCATACGGAATGGGGAGAATGGAGAGTTTATGGGGAAAAGATTGGTTTGAATTTAGACCGGACCGGTGGTTTGTTGAACCGGTTGAACCGGGGAAGAAAGAAGTAGTAATATTGAAAGAGGTTTGTCCTTTTAAGTTTCCTATTTTTCAGGGTGGTCCAAGGGTGTGTTTGGGAAAAGAAATGGCTTTTGTTGAAATGAAATATGTGGTGGCTTCGATTGTTAGGAGATTTAAGATTAAAATAGTTAGTGATGAGAAGCCTATGTTTGTGCCACTTCTTACGGCACACATGGCTGGCGGCTTAAAAGTATTGGTTTCTAAAAGGGTGTGAAACTTTAACTCACTATTTCATTGGTTAAATAACACCATGCTCATGTCTTTTTCTATTATATATACTGTTATCTCTATCAGCCGATTTAAGGATTGATTTTATAGTGAGGGTAAAAGACCTAAACCGTGGAATACATCACGGAAGCTGATTAATACCTATACAGTATTTATTTAAAGAGAAATGATGGAATGACACTCAAAATTACAACTACATCTTATTTACATATCATTAGATACATTAAATATTTTTTTCTTGCTTTGATTTGTGTGCCATTCTTTAAATGCTCTGAAATAGTTAAAGTGTACAAATATCGTGTAGGTAATTTAGTGTCACCATAGCAAAGCTCTTATTTAAAATGTGTTCTCAATGCTCTTAGTTATATAAAATTATTATTGCATACAAGAAATAAGAAATAGATTCACAATAAATATGCATAGAGAGACTTTACGATCTTGGAAGAAGTAAGAAATAGATTCACAATAAATATGCATACAGTGTTAGTTGATTTAATTTGATTTGATTCAATTTTAAGAAAATTTGATACTCAAATGGATCAAAAATATTTAGATTGATTTGATTTAAATTTGCATAATTTTGTCATAAATTTCGAACCGAACCAAATTGATAAATAATATATTGGTTTGGATCGAATTGATCGGATAAATAAAAAACAAATATGTATAAATATTTTTTAAGAATATCTAATTTACATCAACTAATTTTTCATAACAATATAACATCATTAATTTTTTTTTTGTCTCCATATAAGTTGTAAAAATCACAAATGATGTCTCATTTTTTTTTTTTGAACTTGAATACTTTTTACTAGTTTTCGTGATAATGATGATATAAATTATACAAATTAATTATGGTTGATTCAGGTAGAGGACTCACATGTAGAATTTTAAAAATTCATTTTCCGAACCAATTAACATTGAATTTCATTGGTTTGATTCGGTTTTTACCAGAACTAAAAAAGTATCTAACTCAAATACCATGGTTTGATTGGTTTTTTCCAAACCAATGAATATCCCTACTACGCTTAATTAGATTGTCCATATCAAATTATTAGGTAGAAAAAGACAAAACATTTAATCTGAACAAAGGTTAAAATTTTCGTATAACTATTAAATGTCGTGCTTAATTAGACGGTCCCAACTTATGTTTTTTTTTACAAACGTGGTCTTAAAGGTTCATAGAGAAAAAAAGTCTAATGTTATATTTGTAAAATGTCAGCAAGAGGCGACATAGAAAGTTCTCTAAAGAAAGACGACATGATATACTACCCTAGCCATCCATTTATTGGATTAAGCACACTTTATTTAATTGTGGCGTCCATTTCTTATTACCTGCCTACTATGAAAACGTGGAGTTGATGTCCTCTATCTATAACGACATGAAAAAGGAAGTAAAAAAGAAAAACCACATTATCTTGAAGAATATGGGAGTTGACTAACTGCCCACATCCCACGTTCTTGAGAGTGGGTATCTAAAATCCAGGCCCAGGGAATTCATATAAATTCAGGGTTGAGGAGAGGATACAAATTCACTTAAAAAAGACTACTTGACAAAGCTTCTCTCCATCCCTGTGTAAGTTTGCTCTAACACCATGATCACCCTAAAAAACCTCTAACAACCTTACAAAACAAGAGGTTTCCATCATCATTTCAACATTCGCCAAGGCCCTTCCAAATCTGTGATAGAATATGTTTCCCATTTTAATGAGGCGATGGTCAATGTCGTCCACCCCAACCTGAAAAATGTTCGTGGGACTATTTCAAAAGTGGGTTGAGGTTGGGACACTTTAATTAATTCATCCTCTAAAGGCTCGCGATTTTCTTGGTTGAGGTGGTGATACATGTATAAGGCTATATAAAGGGAAAGGAAAATAATGCCAAAAAGAATGTCTGAGATGTCAAAGAACATACCTATAATAACCTTCATAGTTCGCAGTAGCCGTGGAAGAGCCAATATACCTCGCCCATCAGAGATAGGGCAAAATGGAAAACCTGTTAAAAGCTTCATGCCCTTGAACACTTGTCGTGAACAGACATTTCACTGCCATAAACAGCCAAATCAGAGATCATGGGGTCTGAACCCAACAGATGGTGCAAGTTTTACAAAGTCATGGGGCATCACATTGAAGACTTGTACTAGTCTTGTATCAATGGTACCGTATAGAATGTCTGCGTCAGAGTTGAGTGAGATGAAGAAATAGTTGGAATAGCTGTTGGATAAGAAGTTTGTTAGACCCCGTGTGTCATCGTGGGGAGCGCCAATGTTGTTGGATACGAAGAGAGATGGTAGCATGAGGTTGTATGTTGATTATCGACGGCTAAATAAGGTTATGATTAAGAACAAGTATAATCTTCCTGGGATCAATGACCTTATGTATCAGTGTGTTGGAGATTGTGGTTTCAACAAGATTGATTTGAGATCAGGCTACCATCAGATTCGAGTAAAGTCATAAAATATACTGAATATTGCATTTAGAACTCGATACAATCATTATGAGTACTCAGTTATGTCGTTTGGTATGTCTAATGCGCCAGGAATATTAATGGATTACATGAATAAGATATTTAAGGTAATTGGATCCGTTTGTTATGGTGTTCATAGATGACATTTTGGTGTCATCTAAATCAGATGAAGAGTATGCAGGACATTCATGAGTTGTGTTGCAGACTTTGCAAGAGAAAAATTTGTATGCTAAGTTATCCAAGTGTAGGGATGGCAACGGGGCAGAGCGGGGGCAGGTTTAACTATACCCGCACCCGCCTCCATGTAACACACCCGCCCCCGCCCCCAAACCCAACCGGAGGTAAAAATTTACCGCCCAGACCCGCCCCCAGTAGAAAACGGGTGCACCCACACCCACCCCGCCTCCACCCGCAAAAAAATTAATTCTTTTTAATTGCAATAAAAATTAATAATTTAATTAAAAAATTGATTATTTTAATAAGTTAATAAATTATTTAATTAAAATTTTAATTAGTAAATAAATATTAACTTGATTAATTTAATTATTTTAATTGCAATAAAGGTATTAATAATTTAATTAAAAATATAACTAATGAATGAATATTAAAATAAGTAAAATAAGAGAATTAAACTAAAATGTATTATTCGGGGGCGGGGGCGGGTGGGTCTTAGTGTCTCCCTGCACCCGCACCCGTAGTTAAGAACCGGGTTTCCCCCGCACCCAATTAAATCGAGTTTTCCTTGTTAATTTCGGGGCGGGTGCGGGCGGGTACGTGTTTGTTTGCCATCCCTATCCAAGTGTGAGTTTTAGTTGCGAGAATCAAGTTTACTTGATCATGTGATCTCTAGTGGGGGTATAGCAGTTGATTTGTCTAAGGTAGACATGGTGTTGCAGTAGGAGACTTTGAAGTCAGTTACTGAAATCAGAAGTTTTATGGATTGGCTGGTTATTATAGAAGGTTTATAAAAGGCTTTTCGAAGTTAGCTTTGCCTTTGACTCAGTTGACCCAGAAAGGACAAACTTATGTGTGGATTTTGGAGTGCGAAGAAAGTTTCCAAGAGATGGAGAAAAGGTTAACGTTAGTTCCAATTTTGATCTTGCCAGATGCAAAGAAATCTTTTGTTGTGTATTGTGATGCATCGAAGATGGGCTTAGGTGACGTGCTTATGCAGAATAGTCAAGTTGTAGCTTATGCTTAGAAACAACTTAAGACTCATGAGAGAAATTATCCTACCCATGATTTGGAGTTGGCAGCAGTAATGTTTGTGCTTAAAGTGTGGAGACATTATTGGTATGGTTCGAGGTTTGAAGTTTTTAGCGATCATAAGAGTTTGAAGTATTTGTTTGATTAGAAAGAGCTGGATAAGAATGTTACCTCGAATTTTCGACACAAGCCTTGATTGTTAAGATTTAATAGTATTGAAGATTATTTAATGACTTAGGTTTTTAACTTAGGTCGAAATGGTCATTCGACCATGAAATCAAAATGAGCATTCCTCGACGAGGTGACTCCGTCGAATGATATTAATGACTTTGGTTGAGATTCCAATCAGTTAGTTAAAGACCAAGGATTTCATTAGTTTTGGGACTTATTGAAATTTAGAGATTCCAAAATTTTGTTACTCCCCACGGTGGAACGAGGTGTAAACGGATAAGACCAGACAATTATCTGAGAACACATGGAAGCTTGTCGAGAATGAAGATTGCATGGAGACGAAAACATGGAATAATTTTCTTAGTTGACCGTTGCAGATGGTTATGTTAAAACTAATATATAAGTAGCATTCACTTATAGTTTTAGAGGTCCACAATTTTACACAAATTCTGTAAACTCAAAGTATCAGTGTTTCATGATAAAAGAGTTGCGAGAATGTATGTATCTACATTCCACTTTATGAATTGAATTCTTTACTTTCGAATCATTTATTGCTTTCAAAGTTATTTTTACATTTCTTTCATTTTCGACTTTAATATCAATCATTTCAAAGTTTATGATTTTCACATAATATGTCTTGAGATGTTTTTGAGTTTAATCCCTTAAGTGAAATCAAACATGTTTTTGTTCTCCAAATTTCCCAGTAAACGATGAGGAAGAAAAGGTGGCTAGAGTTTTCGAAGGACTATGATTTTGGGTTGATTTACCATCCTGCTAAAGCTAATATGGTAGCAGATGCTTTGAGTAGGAAGTCCTTGTATATGTCGGTGCTTATGGTTTGAGATTTGGAATTAATTAAGCAGTTCATAGATCTTATCAACAAAGTGTGAAGTTGGGGATGCTAAAGTTTACTAGTAGTGCGTTGGAAGAGATTAAAGAAGGTAAGGAGGTTGACTTGGGATTGATTAACAAGCTGGTGTTAATCAATCAAGGTAAAAAGGTAGACTTCAATGTAGACAATGAAGGTGAGAATAATACACAAGAAGGGAGGTTGAATTGTGTTTTCTCATTTTCTTAATTTGTGTCTGATCAGAATTCAGAATCTAAACTGGTGTTCGAATTCTAGTTATACTTAGCAGCGGA